GAGGAGAAAATTGCTGGGTGCATGCCATTAATAAAGGAAAAGATTAAAGTATGAACTCGGAACACTCTAAATTTATATGAGTAGATCTACCAACATTATTGTATTCTATATTTCACAGAAATTAGTTATAATTACTGCCAATATCATTCTTTTATTTAACTGTACTTTATTACCGATCTTTACCTTTTACATCACTTCCATTAATCAGAAATTTTTAAATCATATGCTGAAACCATTAAGAAGGAAATATTTCAGGAGAGAAATATACGAGTGAATATGGTGTTATGAATAAGGTTAATATATATGTGAAGCAGTGTGATTCTGAAGTATATTACATATCTATTACATTAGTAGCCGAGTAGATAAAACTGTTTAACAAGTAGTTCTTGTACGAGCTATTTGAATCCTGACTGTGAAAGGAAGCTGATGAATGTATGGTTTTGAGAGTGAGTGAGTGAGCGCCACCAAGGAAGACCACTGAACTGGCCTTAGCCTCACAGTGTGATATCTTCCTGGCAGAAACCATCTACTCTGCTCCACCCTGCTCCGGGAACGCAGCCGAATAGACGACTAAGAGCCTCATAAAGTCTACATGTAAGCTTGGATGTTGTTGTATGGGGAAAGAGTATCCTGTTAGGAACTACTTAAAATTAAGTAAAGAAGCAATCAAAAGGCTGTTAAGAATCGCTGTTAGAATAGACAGAAACTTGTGTTAGATAAAGTAAAGATAGGAGGACTCTGCCTGAAAAATTAACTACCTTGGATTTTCTGGACTTGCTAAATGTCTACATGCGGGTGCTAATCCTGACACAACTGTCATATATTTATGGAGCTTTTGTAAAATCGTTGGTCCTGCATGGAGGAATGATGTAACCTATTAAATTATTGCACATAGTAAACTTTAAAAAAAAGAGAGAGATTAAAAAATAATTCAAAAAAACTCCTAGCGCCCAAACATAATTTAACTCAGATTACTTTCCATGTGCTTGACTCTTATGTAAGAATATTTAAAAGATTGTGTACCTGTTATCACTAAGATAACAAATTCCTGCATAATTTAGTTCTTTGCGCATACTTAAACTGTAGTTGTTTTACAAATTGAACCATTCACCTATATTTTCTTTGGTTTTTAGAGTTTTAATGTATGTGAAATAAACATAAATATTGTCTCTTGAAGTTTTCAACAAATACATTCTTTTAAGTCCGATAATTTTGTTTGCTGCCTATTTATCTATCGTAAACTATAAGCTGCAGCTACACGGGCTCTGTGTAGAGTTCGAACTTAAGATTTACTCTCCATGGTTATTGACAGTGGTACAAATTTGGCTATTTTGGGTTAGAAATCAATTACAGCTAATTCTTAGATATCCACTATTTGTCCTTATTAATCTGTCCGTGATATGATTGCCTTTGCCCCTGACATTCCCTCCCCAATCTGTTTGGAAGTAGGATGAGCCCCAGTAAAGTATGGCAATAATAAGCAGAACGACTACAGGACTTTTTGCATTTAAAAAAGTTCTAAATCATCCCAACTAATTGATCCAACTGTAGATGATGATACAACTGTATGCTTGACACTCACTCAAGATCTTCTATCCACGAACAAATGCTCTTAGCACTTAGAAAAGGGAAGGGAGGAATAAGCGGTATTTATGTAATTATTTAAAACTGCATTAGCTCTTAGCTGGTAATCTGCTTCTGGCAACTTTTACTTAATCTTGAGACTCGCGTTATTTGATCTTAAGCAATTAATTTAGCTGTGATCTACCTGCATATATGATGACACAAAGTACTGATATACAAAGCTTAATAAATATGCCACATTGACAAGTAATTTTCGGATTTCTCAAATTAATTTCTCAAACAAATTTCTCAAATTTCGGATTTCTCAAATTATGGTATGTACCATTAATATTACATTATTTTCGGCGGTACAATTTTAAATGACTATAACTTCGCGCTAATTTTGATCGGAAAATGCTTTTATGATAGCACATATATTTCTGATTCTTATTTATGGGGTATAAGTTTTTAAAAAAAAACCATTGCAATAAACAATAAGTACATGAAAAACGATATAAAGCAAGTCAAAGTAATTCCCATTTCGCACAACAAACATAGCGACTCATTCATGAAATTATCTATCATCCATTATCTATGATAGTGTCATGATTTTATTATTATGTGCCAGACATCTTCAAATAAATAAATAACATTACTAGTAGAATGCATTTGCAAAGATCGCTGCACTCCATTTTTTTTTTTTTTTTTTTTTTTTTTGCTTTTGAGTTAGTTTTTATTTTCCATGAAATGCCTTCTCGAATGTTCAGTTAATATTCAAATGATACTGAGATTATTCCAGAAAATTGATACCGTGCCAGATTTGAGATCTTCGGGACAAAGCATTGTTGTTACACTAAATAAAGCTTTTCTTTCCAAACAAAGCTTAACCGTAAAAAGGAAAATAGCTAGAATGCTATTGATCTATTTTTTTTTTTTTTTTTGGAAAAATGCCAAAAGGAGGGTCAAGGCTTCAAGATATAAATTTAAGGATGGCATAAAATCCAACCCATAAATTCTCATTATAGGAGGGAGAGTCAATGCGGCGTCTTGCGCATAATTTGAGAATTGCTCATGAACCATTCGCTTCTTTTGAGCAAGTAGACGCAAACACTTCCCCTGTAAATGTGTTTTTGTTGCGTAAGCATCATTAAAGCAGGGAAACATCTTTTCAGATGCTGTCGTTGATGGGCTAAGACCAATTAACACTGCAAGATATCCGAAAACGAAAACAGATCTGATGATTCAGTACATGATTATTTTGCTTTAGAAAATACGCAGAAATTATTCCATGTAACAAAATGTTTTGTTCATGGTTAATATTTCCAGGAAAAAGGCACTAATTTTGAATTCCAGAGAGAAACTTTAACGTTCTATTTTAAAGAAACGGGGCGGGGGACTGTGGATAGCACAAAATCGTAAACAATTTTATAAAAAGAGTTTTTAATAGAGATATCTCGTTAGAGTCTTTGCGAAATAGTTTCCACAAAAATCGATCACTTTATTATACTACCAACTTCACATTATTCTAGAAGTGTCTGATCTGATCTCCAAATAAAAGACCTACCGGCTATTTTAACTAAGGTGAAATTGGATTTTCCTAGAATTACTAGTGGAAATATTGTATTAGTCTTGATTAATTAATTAGAATTAGAATGATTAATTAAATTAGAATCAGTAAATTCTAGATTTAAACTGATAAGATTTTTCCTATCAGCTTATAGTTACATATTTTTAGTCCAAAGGGGCTTTGTCTCTGAAGGATTATTGTTTTCGTTCTGCGATTTTTCGTTGGTTCACTATAAATGTCCGTTTCACTTTTCAAACTGTTGCCACCAAATGTTAGAGTCCCGCATTATATTTGAAGAAATTAATTAATGAAAAATCTGCATATATGAAGGTATTTTCTCGCACTGTGATAAAACAATGGTACATAGAGCCATCGAATTTTGAATGACATAATCCTACTGCGAATATGAGCATGTGGAAGCCCAAATTTGAAATTTGGAATTTATTTTATTATCGATTTCGTATTTTGGTAAAACTTTAACGAATTTTTGATTAACAAACTCTAGGATTTCAAAGCGAGAAATGGCAACGTTGTACAGAAAAAACATTTTTATCTCCAGCGCGCGAGACTCTGTATCGGAAATTCTAAATATATGCTCAGTTTAAAACTATTTTGCGATATTGCTGTTGAACTGAATTTTATTGTTTAAGTGCGAAGAACGTGATATTTAATAAATAAATGTAACAGACAAAATGTTTAAAAAAACGCCCTTTGGACGTAATTTAAAATCTGAAACCTTTCAGATTTTCTTTTCCTTTTTTTAAGTGTTCTTCAGTTTTTATTAATACATAATCAATAAAAACCATTGAATTAACCATTGAATAAAAGAGAACAAAATTTTTAACTAAAGGATCTAATATTTACAAATACATATTACACGTGCATGCGTGTGCCACATACACAGTACGTATTAGAAGCTAATGAAATTCAGTCTATAAAACATCTTATATTATGTATTACTATTGAAATGACAAACATTACTTTTGCGTAGAAAATTTTTAATTTTAATTTATTTCCATTTTGTTTCAAATACATGTATATAAAAATTTTTGACATCAAATTTAGTTTACTTTTTACTAATAAATTTTATTATTCTACTTTTCAAGCCCTACTTTCATTTCATATCATTCTCTTTGATTGGTGCTTTTCATTTTTAAACATTCTTCTCCGTTTCCCTGTGGAATTTTCCTCCACGTGGGGTTTACCAGCTCTTTTCTGCTTCTCTTCCGATTTTTCCATGTCGCGAATCCTTTTCGGCGTGCTTAAGCAACTCCCAACTAATAAATTTTTTAAACAAGAAAAGCATTACAAAAATGACGTATACTGTTAGGCGACAGCCAATGTAAGCTTTATTGGAGAATCCGTAGTGAACAAAAATTACAATCGTCATTCATACCCTCCCCATTCAACATTTTATTTATCTCAACGTTTACTTCTATGACGACTGTTATGTTTTTCTAGATTTTATTCCTAAATTTAGGCTTAGGAAGTACTGCTGTCACAAATAGAAAAATCAGTTGTCAGTTTACTTAATCCCGAACTATCTAAGAAATGCTTCGTTTAGAATAGATTTTGTAGAGCTTATTGTTAAAAATTCTTAAAGATAGGTGATTGTAGTTTTCATTTAATTGAGCCAATATTTCTTCATTTATTTCTATGGGAATTGAGGAAATGAAATTAATATAATATCAAGATCAGTACACACTATACTTTTAGCCAAGTAAGCATTTTTATAGATATCATGTTAGAAATAATAATGTCTTGCGCTTGAGAATTTGTCCAATACTATGTCTGTTTTGGTATACTTTTTATGCCTGCTGCTGACTAGTGAATTTTTAGATAGCTTCATTTGTTTTCTGTTCTCCTTTAGTCCTAGCGTGGAGAAGGGTGCAAAGGGAGACTCCGAGATACCCCGTAACAATTCAAGCTTCTTGAATGTAGATATTGCCGAGCTGGAATACTCCCCAAGTAGTAAAGATCTGGCCGATGCTGAGCTGCATCACATTCTCTCAGATGCCATGTTCAAACCGCCAAGACGAGTAAGTATTTTAACACAATTCACTGATGAAAGAGAAATGATAAAACATTCTGTCTGTATATTATCGGGTATTATTTAGACATATTACAATAAAACAAATTGTTTATTACGAGTTGTTTCTCGAATTTCAGGTAGTTTCGTTCACTTTCTTGAATGCAAAATACTTGCAAATAGTACTTACGATACTGTGCGGGGACACATTCTGATATGTTTACTACAATTTCTAACACTGGTAGACAATTTAATAGTTTTAGTGCAAAATCATAAAAATAGCTTAAAAGTTTAACTCATAAATTGAATTCTTTTCTGGAAAACTTGTGGAGTCTTTAGAGTGTTTGATGCTGGACACATGAAAGATGTGCAGTATCCTCGCCTCGACTCGAACCCTGGACCTCTCGAAAATACTTATATGAAGAAATATGAAAGAAATATATGAAGAAATATATGAAGAAAATACCTTATAAAGTAATAAATAATGTAATTTTTATCCTTCATCGGGACACTGAATGTTTCTTTAAATAATAAAGAAATATGGAAATCCTTTCAGCTGCTGATAAATTTCAATCACAGTAATTTTTAGTAGCAGTACATGTGGTTTTAAACGTTCAGTGTTTTCTGAATGTTTGTTCTACAAGTAAAACTCTTCTGTTTAGTTTTAAAGCATCTGTTCTCCTTTTTGAATCTTTCTGTAATGTTTTTTGGTTAACAGTGAATTTAAGTTATTATCTAAACCAATATTAACATTACATTCAATAAAACTTCATCCTGATATATTTTGTTCTGACAACGTTAATTTACAGATCCCTGATACTATCTAGAAATATGCAAGATAATCGAAATATTGAAATATCTTCATCCCAGTTCTAGCTGGTGAGACTGGATATATCTCAGCGCTAGAAGTAATTTTTGATTTATTGGCGAAATTGATTCTTTGTTTATATTTTCGTGAATATTCTCCTGCAATAAACATCACTATAATGAATCAAATTCTTCTTACATTTAAAAGTGGATATAATCTTGTCATCACTAAACTTTTCCCTTATGCCAAGGAGCATAATTATATTACATTAGTTATTAATTTTAACCTTTTGAGCTAGCGTATGTAGCAGTCTTTTTAGTTAATTGTTTTATTGAGTTAAATGTGTTATGATCTCAGTTTAATAATCGAGAAACAACTGTCACTGCTTTTTGGAGGCGAGAATATTTTAACTGTCATAACTGTTTACTGCTTAATCTATATGTTAGCTTTCTCTGTAAAACTGTAAAGGAAACTTCAGTCTACAATTTTTACTTAATTTTTATTTTTTTTACCTTGCCGAAACCAAATAGGATTGAATATAATATCAAAAATCTGAGATCTTAAAATCTTATCAAGTATTTCTCTTTGTTCGTTGTTAATAAAGTATGTAATTACTTCAAGAAGAAAATAAAATTGATTTCATCTTTTTAAAAAAAAATCTCTTTTTTATTTATATTAACTGTAAAAACTTGCGAAGCAAACTGAATAAAATTCTGATAATTTCTTTTGACCGTAATAGATTTCTTTTAAAAACAACCATGGTTGAAATACTATTTTTCAGGTTCGTTATTAACATAGAACTCCTAGCAAACCTTTTCAGAAAATTCAGAGCTCTAGGGAGAAACGCTACTTTTCATTGAAAAGTACCAACCAAAGTGTCAAAACACCTTGTTTCGAATCCACTAATAAGTAGCTGAAAGCATTAAACGAAATCAAAACAATGAAAACAATTGATGTAAATCGAAAGCAAAATGAATTGCAGATTTATTTATACGATTACTTTTTCTTCAGCGGTACATTCGCCGAAATTCCGTGTATGAACGCAACTCTAGCCAAACTCCTGATCCTCAACAGACGAGGCTACAGATCCGGCACCTGATCGATGAACGGATTCCTCACAGGAGGCTTAGTAGCCAGGCTTTCGCAACCCATGGCCCCTTCCCCAAACAGAATGCAGCCTCAAATCACACGGGCAGTAATTCGGAGCGCAGTTTGGGTTCGAATTCTTCAGATGGAACTACTACGCGAGGACTCATCAGCGGACGGAAAAGTAAGTTCACATTTCTTCTATTAATATGTAGAATGCCTCAAAAATAATGGTGATGTTTTATGTTTCTGTCAATGGTAATGTGAGTCTAAATATACTGGAGCGTTTTAATCTTCCGAGATAGAGAAAATGGGGGAATTTGATAATACCATATTTCTCTGGAATAGTGTTCTGCGATGTTTGCAGTAATTAGGCAAATTACATTAAACTATTTATTTTTCAAGAGATGGATTAAATGGGTCCATTCCCTATTCCTCAGAAAACCCAGAAATTGCTCAGATTTATACCATAATGATTCAGGATCTTGATCTTCTGCAGGAAAGAATTACTACAGGTATACTGGTACGAGTGAGCTGGATACAGAAATTTCAGCATTGGTTGTACAAGTATAGTCCCACCGTGCTGGTTACTAGCCGTGAAGCTCTAGCTAATTTTGACGTAAAACACCCTGAGGGATTGTTCGAGAGTCTCTCACTCCTCTTCTCCTATCCCCAAGTTACTCGAGAGGACTTTCGGCTGGATAAGAACTGCAAACTAACTAAATTTAAATAAGAGTTAAACTTAAATACTTTACAAAGACTAGTAACGCTAAGATTGGCCTTTTAGATCTTTACGTATGTAGTTGCAGAACGCAGGAAAACTACAGGTGAGAGGTGACGGAGAACTGGGGCACCTGGCGTCTACCAGAGGTAAGCAGGTGCATACCCCTCGTCCTCCACTATCCAGCGCTTATCGAAGAATTAAAGGAATTGGATGAGGAACATGGCCTTACAGGGGCTAGGTGGCTGTACAATGGCCACAGATTTGAGAACAGAGGATGCAAGAACATATTGCAATGCATGTAAATATAAAAAAGAACATAGAGCATAAAGGTAATACAATAAGTAAATAGTGAAATATAAAGTACATAAGTAAAAAATACGTTGAAAAAACAAGTAGTGAAATGGGAAAGAGACAGCGAAGCGAGAGAAAGTCTTATATGACATCTGCCAGGAAAACTACAATTGGCCATCTACGGGAAAACTACAATACATCTTCAATATCAAGAGGACTAAATTTCTGGCCTTAAAGGCGGACAGCAATTGTCTGAAAATCGCGCGTTAAATAAGGTGGCGAGAAATCTCTTTCTTTCTCTAACTCTGTTGGCTAAAAGCCACAACTTAACAGCTTGCAAGCTCAGTTTGCATATTAAAATTAACCGCGTTTATTCTGGCCCGAAGTGGAAAATAAGAGGGGACAGTAAAGTTTTAAAATAAAATAAACGTTAGTAAAACTTCAAATCGTTATAAGGTATTTAAGTGCCCCTATATGGAGCAGGCACTCTAC